CAGTATTTGCCTTGCATGACCTCCTCTTATCCCAGCTATTCAGTTCTTTTCATATTATTTTTTTCAGGACTCAGTCCATCTGTCTCTTAATCATTTGTTGTTGCATTTCTCTGAATCCTTTCTAATTTATTGACATCTCTTAGGCTGTAAGATTCTTGTGACTTCATGCAGTGTTCTTAGGGTGGGCAAACCATTTGCTGATTTAAGGCAGTCTCTTCGATCCAATGTCATTGTCTTTCAGACGCACAAGGTCTGTGATTGCTTTCAGTATATATTCAATGTCAGTGCCCTGGCAACTGTGAAATAAGGGAAGCAGCGAACACATGTATATCGTGCTAGCATGCAAGGATGCTTTATCTGTGCCCTCCGGGTGTTCCCTGGTCAACACTAGGTTAAGCACCCCATATCCTCCAACCACAAAAGCAGATCAGATGCAAGTAGGATCGCAGCAGCCACAGATTTCTTGTTCTGCTTCAAGCTGTGTTGAGCAGGTGCAGGGCTGCTTGACAGGACACCCAAACAGCCCTGATCATTTGATTGGCTTCACTTCACATTCCCTTTTACCTCCAGCCATGTTCTTCCCCTTATTCCCTCCCACAAAAAGCCCACCTCTGTTTAACTTTTCCCCACTACCACTGATTTTGTGGACTTTATACCCTTATTTAGTATTTATGATATCATTGTCCTGGCAATTTCTATCTTGGTCATCAGTTTTGTCAAGCTAGTACGTTCCTTGTGTTACCTGTAGTGTCCTACAGTTTCTCATGTGCTATCCTGCTAGTGGTGCCCCAGGTGAGGGTGAGCCATCTACATTGGCATTACTCCCCTTTCATTAACTGTAGCGTCCTGCAGTTCCTGCCTGTTCTTATCTTGTTAATGGCACCACAAGTCAGGATTAGCCCTCTGCATGGATACCTTAGCACATGTTATCATGGACGTTACACCACTTTCTATAAATCAGAATGACAACTTTTGTATTGATGTGCCCCAAACCTATGCCTTGTGGTAGAGCTAATCCTTTATCTGTAGCACCAAGTCCTTTATTATCATCCCCTCTGCAGTTATTCAGCCCTGTTCATGGATGGTGCAACACAGTTCTTGTGCCTGTGCAGCCTCTGCCTTCCCTGTTGTGACCATGAAAATTGTGGTGATATTTTAAAGAACACCAATATTATAACAATTTTAAGTCACCGTTAATTTGGTCTTTCTGAAAAGCTCGCTCTTTTGTTCATGAAAATGAGATGTTTTTAGGGTTAAAGACAGAAATGACAATGGAGGTCTAGTCCAGTTCTAGCAGATTTTCTGCGTTACCGTGGACAAATTGCTGGCCAGTTCTCTTACAGTTCCCTGCCTGTAAAATAAGAACAATGATATTGAACTTACATTATTTATATCCATAAAAGACTCTGAGATCTTTGAGGAGGGAATGTGATAGATATTCAAAATAATCATAATTGGACATTCCTCTGAGACCCCCTGTCACCCTTCTGTTTTCATTGCTGCCAGTATAAGATGGCCGCTTCACACAGCCTTCGTGGATATGCCTAGGGTAGCACCTGAAGGTGACCTTGAAAGCAAAGTGCAAGAGGGCCTGTATCAGAGGTAGCATGTATATTTTGAGGGGTGAAAGGAAGGGGTGGAGTACATGACAAGAACACAGAGGAAGCTGTTAACTGCTGAAAATCCCTACCAATATTGACAAGTGAAAACATTTGTCTTCTGGGCCACATAAACGAAAGACACAGTGGCAGGTGTTTTATGTTTTAGTTTATTTTATCTCCTGGTATCCTTTAAAATTAAAACATTGAGGGTAAATTGTGACTCAATAGATAAAACTTTATTTTTCTCATATCACAGTCAGAAACTTTCCTCCACAGTCAGTTACTGTAACAAATCTCATTTTTGCGAGTCACTCTTAGTCTTTAAATTTTTTTGAGTCATCACTTGGGAATCTTGTTTCATAAGTAAATTCAATACACTTAAATTTTGTTTTCACACCTAAATTTGATAGATGTTGTGGAATTTGCAGACCCCTGGCCCATTATAGCTACATTCTCATCTCCCTGTGGCCATTCTGCCTCAGAAATATATTTTTTGTCTCAAGTTCTCCCTCATTCTTGTGCCTGGGAAGGAAAATTCAGGCCCTTCTTTTGGGAGAAGGGGGAATATTTTCCTGGGAAACGGTATTTCTTTATTTCATTTTTGAAAGGTGGTGAAAGGCACTTAATTCTCCCTTGAATGTCTGTGGTGTAGGTAGAGATTCATTCTTGCATGTTACTGACATATGGTTTTATCTATGCCTTAGATTCAGGAACTCCCAGATGCTGAGCTTTCCTCCGCAGGGGGGAACAGATGGTTTCTTCCTCACAGCAGTGGAAATCTTCATGCCTTGGGTGCAGTGTTGATTATCTCAAGGCATGAGGCTTTCTTCTTGCTGAACCTCAGAGAAATTTCTTTTCTCCGAGGAAGCATTTTACTGTGGTGTGTTGTTTTGTTCCTTTGCCTAGTGATGAGGCAGGCTGTAACCCTGCCTTGTCTCTCAGGGGCAGCACCTCTTTTTGGGAGGTCTAAAATTGTTCCACTCATGGCTGGCTTGAGAGCCTTTTCTCCTCTGAAAAATGCTCACCGCTATATCTTGGAGAAGGAAATACCTTCTCTTCTGCCCTTGTATGTTTCATCCCTCTTTATCAGAGAGGACCTCCTATATGGCTGGGCAAGGATGTTGTGAGGAGGATCATTGCGAGTGAGATACTGGCTTGCCTTTGGGCAGCAACGCAGCAGGGTTGCCGTAACATTTAATTTAGCACTGTACTGATTAAACAGGTCCATGTTCTGAATCCGTCTTCACAGTTTTTAAACGGTGAGTCTCATTCGGGAAAACAATGACATTAGTTTAAGTTTTCACTTACTTTCATGCCTAAGAAAGATACCATTGGCTGATGAGTGCTATGTGTTGACAGTTCTCTATGGTCTTGGGAGTTTTACTATCAGGATTACAATAGTGATGTTCAGAAAGGAAGGACAACCTTCCTTCCTTCTCCTGATTAAAAGGAGCTGTCTTCTCTCTATGTCCCTTGCAACGTAATCAATAAAAGCTTTCTCTTTGAACCTAGTTTCACTGGTGGTTAATATGTATGGCACATCCTTACCATTTGCTCTCTATATAGAAATAGGGAAATATTCAGAAAATGAAAAACTACTGAAGACAAGAAAGCCTCTGAAAGGCAAAAGAATCCGCATTCCCATTTACCTGAATTTCCCAAAAGTGCAAAATGTGAATGTATGTGTAAGGGCTTTCTAGTGTCGTTCCAGTGTGACTGGGTTTTACTCAGACAGAACCCAGACAGCTAAGGTATTTCAGTACTGGGCAAAAAAGAAGACCTATGTAATGGAGATGGAGAGCCTTTATTTTTGCTGTGAACCTCATAGCAGTTTCAAGCTGGATCTGATTTTTGAATAAATATTCAGGTATTAAATATAATAAAGGTGTTCAATATAATATTCAGGTATTAAATATAATAAATATTCAGGTTATAAATATTCAGGGATTAATTATTATTTTATTAATTCAGACCAGTTAATCCAGTCTTAACTGTAAGTTCTGTGTTTGCATATAAAAGACAAAATTTCTGAGACATGCCCTCCCAACATTTACTCTATATTTTGGCTGTCAGAAGGACTGGGGTAGGTTAACCAGTTCCTTTTTTTTTTTTCTTTTCTTTTTTCTTCTCCTTTCTTTCTCTCTCCAGATGTAAGTGAACAGTGTATTCCTGGAATTATACGAACAGCTAACTTCTGGAGGTGTAGAAAGACAGCTCTGATGTGATCCCATACTCAGTCCTGGGAGTACTGAATACCGTGAGCATGTTGTAGGCATTAGCTTCATAGAGGCTGGAAAATTATTGCTGTTCTGGATCTAAAAGGTCAGTGGATTGCTTGGCCTGCTCATGAGGTTTTTCTGGAGTAGCAGAGATTTACCCATTCTATGCTCAGTAATAGGCCAAAATAATGGCTGCATTCCAGGAGCAGGGCTCTGGGTGCCACGAGGGGGTAGTCTGAAAGCTGACCACAGAGTTGATACCATTCAAGGCCCAGTCAAGTGTGGGACCCTGATTTTCCTACAACTCTTTTTTCCACTCTGACATTGAGGGATCTAACACTTACCTTGGAGTCACATGGCAAGGATCATGTCACTGCTGCTTTCTGGGAAGGTTGCAATTAAGAGAGATGAAATACAAACTCATGTACAAGGATGCCGAGGTGTGAAGCTGCTGTTTGAGCAGACAACAGTGAGCCAGGAACAGCCTCCTTGCACAGAGCACAGTTCAGGGCAGCGCAAACACCAGCTGGTCTCTGACCTGGGATGCCTCTCTTCATGAGAGTAGCTTGAGGGCTGCTTTGGCATCCATATTTTCTCAAGTCTGTGCTCTTTATTAGTAACCTGGCTCTAACTAGACACCATTCCAGAAGCCTTTTGCAAGCATGACAGGGAAAGGCCTGTGCCTATGTGCCAGAGTGGGATCCTGCCAACGTAGGAGCAGTTGCTGCCTAGCTGAGATGGCAAAACCTGCCTTGCCTTCAGAAGCCGAACAGCTAGGACAAGCTGAGTCCCCGTTGGGGCTGGATTCCCCGCGAGCAAGCTCAGGGATACGCCATAGTTCGTCTGTAAATCAGCCACCCACCAGGCACTACCAATGAAAGAACACTATTTAACATGGGCGTTACCTGCCAGAGCTGCACTGGGAAATGTCAGGAAAGATGAGTTTTGGCTAATGTGTTCAGTAACACTTGTTAACGGATACGGCAAGTTAGGCCGTATTCAGACTAATAGCTAGGAGATGCTATCATGTATCCATGATTGCTTTTGCTAGTCTGGGAAAGGTACAGGCATAAGCCAAGAAAGGTAACGGCTTGGGAAAGGTACAGGCATAAGCCAAGAAAGGTAACGGCTGTGCTTGCATTTTCTTTGCTGTTTGTCTCACTAAGATTGGACTGGGTTGCATGCCTACTGCTGCCTGCAGATTTGACTATGAAAAAGCAGGTGACACAAGTTTGGATCTCAATGGAAAATGGAGCTCGCATAAGAAGCACAAATATTTCACAGTGTTGTAATTAGAGCACACTAAAGGAGCCTGGTGAGAAAACCTTTTTTATTAGTATCATTAATTTGTTAGTTTTAGAAGAAAAAAATATGAGCTGTACTTTTTAATGTTTTAACTGCCTTCGGATATATTGCTCTAGGTACCCAGAAATGGTGGAATGAACAGAGACTAGAGCTAAGAGGGAGCTGGAAGCCATCTCAAGAGGTCATCTTAACTCATCCTTCTACTCCAAAGCAGAATCAGCTCAACCCAAAGCATTCCTGACAGGTATTTGTTTTATCTGTTCTTCAAGAACTTCAGTGATAAAGATAGCACTATTTCCTATGGCAAACTTTTCCAGTGCTTCACTAGACTTCCTGTTAGGAAATTCCTTTTATTTATTACCCAGCAGGCACACAGACAGATTAATCCTTTGTTCTTTGCAGCATGCTTTTGCATACCATGTTATGTCTTCCTGACATCTTTCCTCTGAGCTTCGCACTCCTTTTTTATTCTTTTTTTTTTTTCCCCCTGGTAGGTCATATTTTCTGTATCTCTGGCTTTCTGGTTCCCTTTAGTCTTCTCAGACCAAATGGTCCACACTCTTCTTGGAATCCCATGCCTGAAACTGGATTCAGTATCTCAGGTGAGGTCTTACAAGTAGAAGGATTACCTTCAGTGCCTTCTAGAAAATATCCTCCTTCGTACACCTAAGTGTAATATTAGAGTTGTGAACTTTTTTGATTTCCATAATATGACAATGTTGATTCAAGTTCACATTGTGCCCCATCATGATTTTGGGAACGTCTTCTGCAGAGCGAATGCTTAGCCAGTTGTTCTCTGCCCTGTCTGAAACTGATCATTCCTGCCTGACTACACTATTTTGCACTTGAGCTTATTGAGTCATACCCTTTTAATTTCAGACTGTTTTTCCTTTTTGCAAAGATCACTTTGAATGCTAATTTGAATTCTGGTCTTGTCCTCTGGAGTGCTGCAGCCCCACTCAGCTTGATGTCATCTGTAAATTTAGTAAGGGCACTCTATTTCATCAGTGGGCCTATGAATGAAAGTGCAGACACTGGGATAGTACCCAGCCCTCTGAAACTGCACTTGAGACATCCTCCAGTTTGTCAGAGGACTACTAATCAGAATTTGCTTGGACAGATCTATAATAATACATGAGCATTGCTTAATAGTCTGGGAGTTTTCTGAGCCTGACTCAAAAGGAAATCTGAAATATTACTCTTTTCTCAAACTGAATCTGAACCTAAACTATTGTTCAAAAGTCATTGCTTTTTCTCAAACTAAACTGATTCAAACTTGTTTTTGCTTGAACTGGAACTGAATTTTAACTGTACTGGGGCAGCGTTTTGGATATCAGCCTGGAAATAAACAGAATGGTGTCAGCTGCAAATGGACCCAAACTGGAAATGGTTAAGAACCATTGGTTTAATTCCCTTCTTACAATAATATCATCTAGACTGCATTTCTTCAGCTCACCCATGAAAAATGAGCACACAATGACAAAAGTCCATCCTAGATCAAGGCAAGCTACAGAAAGTAGAGGTAAGGTGATGGTAACATGTGCTGCAGCCAAAGACTGGGACCACTGCTTGGTCCCCCTCTCACCCAGACATAGAGACCAGAAGCCTGCAGCTTTCCTCCTTCCTCCCCACTTGAGCCCTGGCCGCTCTCCCACATGCCCAACCACAGAAAGGACAATTGTTAGTATTGCTGTTGAAATGGGGATGTTTAATGCTTGTATCAGCAATAGTTGTATCACTTCACCTTCCATAATTTTACTAAATATTCTGCAGTTAGCACCACTGGGAATTAGTTTATAACTCATTACCTAAGTTTTCTGTGATTAATTCTATTCTTGTTGTTAATCCTTTACTCTCTTCCCCCTTCTGTATGGTTCACAAAGAGCTAATTCTTACTTTTCCCATGGGAGATTATCAGGCTGGTCCATAAAAACTAAAAAAGATCCTGAATGCTAATACATTCTCTAAAGCAGATCAACTCTGAAACTGCTATGAGGTTTCAGAGTGTTTAAGAAATGTTTAGAGATATTGTGGACATCTGTGGCAGCACAGTGATGGTAGTCTTAATGGATAGGGTTGAGCTGGGGAGTAGTATTGGAAGAAATGAGGTAAAGCCAAGCTCCAGAAATCTTTAGGGTGTATCAAACAAGCTTTCTGTTTCAAAAAAAGTGTTGCTGTCATGAGAATGATACTTGCAGAATAGAGATCCTTTCCATGTTTAAACTTAACAAGATAAAAGAAGAAAAATCAACTAGAAGGTCCGAAACCCAGGAAGATTTCCCCTCTGATGGAGAGGGGAAATCTCTCTGATGGAGAGATCCTAGGAGTCTATTAGGACTTCACTGTTGCTTATTGCATTTTACCTGGAAGGTGCTCAGATACTAGGAAGATACCTGAGGGTTTGCAATCTGAAAGAGAACTAGACCTTTACCTGTAGTAAATCAGAGTAGCTTCATCAGAGCACATGGTTGCTACTTTCTCTCTTTACCCCATCTGGAGGTCTGTTCTGCGTGATCTCTGCTGGAAAGAAAGACTCTTGTGGGGATTCACCCTGTGTAACATTGTCTGTATGCAGAAAAGCAGAAAAGGGCAGTTGTCTGTCTGCAGACAGACAGGAAGGCGTCTCTTCACTTAGAACTGCAGTGCACAGAGAGAACAAAACCCACCTCTTTTCAGTACTATTAGTAAGTAATGCTAATTTATATAGGGCTGCCTAATGAAATCAGTGTCCATGCAGTGATCTTATGCTTTACAGCTGCTGCTAAAGGCTATTTGACCGTACTCCCCAAAGATCGGTTCACAAAATCATAGCTGACTGAAAAGGCACCGGAATAACTTGCTCTGTCCGGTAAAGATTGTGGCAACCTTCCTTTTAAGAGGGTTTTAACCTGGTTATTGGTGATATGACTTAAGTTACCTTTAAGGAAAGGTGCTTCTTCTGTGATTCAGGCAAATAAATCCAGCATCTTTGCAAGATGCTCTTTTGGCTGCAATTAAGTAGTGCCTGATTTTCAACCAAGCTAAGTTAAAACAAATAGTTTCTTCTTTACAGGAAATAAATTAACAACAACAGCGACAATAAAAACCAGCCACTGTCTTTGGTGAAGGGGGGCTGAGGGAGGATCTATGTTGCTGAGCAACCAGCCCAGAGTAGGAATCTAAGCACGCGGGCTAGGAATATAGGAATGTATAGGAATTGTAGGAATATAACCTAAACCTAAACATGAGTAATTCAGCAGCTTCATGAACAGATTATAATTTTGAGCATGAAAAGGACATTTTTTCCAAGAAATCATAGATGCAGCTCAGGAAGGCTTGTGATAGCCCCACAACCTTATTGCCTGAAGTAGATGACAGCCCAAGCATACAATTAATAATTAAATGCGTGACAGCATTACTACTGGGATTAATCCAAATGCCTCACTTTACTAGAGGTGTTTTTTTGCTTGCATGTGGCTAGAGGGATGATCCCCATTAGCTCAACTTTTGTCTTGTTAGTGGTCTCATCTTCCTGTGACCTTAGAGATCGGAATTTCTTCTCATTATGTGACGCGCCACTAGAGGGGCGTCCGGGATTCTTTCGTATTCTGGGATTAGTTGCACTGAACTCGAGAGATCATTCTTTGTCAGATGTAAGAATTTATTAGATCTAAGCGGTTCTACACATATGACGGACACTGGACAACACTAAACCATTAACAGCAGACAATCTACAAGTATAACAAAGCTAAGAAGTATAGTGAAGAATCAAAAACACACACATATCAGAGCTCTATGGTTAAGCCACGGAAGCACAGTACAATGACTGCTCTCGGATGCACGGTATAATGACCGCTCTCGCCCTTTCCTTGTCCTTATGGGCCACCCCTCCGGTATAGTTTTCCCCGGATTGTTCTCACCACGCTCGAGCTGTGCCAAGAGGATTCAGGTTCTCTCTGGCAGTTGGCATCAGGGGCGTCCCCGCTGACGAGTGGGTTGTCGGGTCCGCAGGCCAGCTGACGGTGAGTCCGAGTCCACACAGAGGTGTGTGGCTTACTCTCTTTTATCCTTCCCGGGCTTAGTTCATTAATCAGTGCCAGACCACAGCTGGACAATGGAACAGATGGTCTTAGCTGATAACAGTATGGATGCCGACAGGATGGTCAACAGGATGCTTATCAGTACATTCAGCAGCTATCAGTGCGCATGTTTAACAGTTGCACATTTAACAGCTATCAGTGCGCACAGTCAGCAGCTATCAGTACGCACATTCAACAGCTATCAGTACAGAATTCCAAGGTATCTAGATGCTTACAGTGTGAGTCTGCGGTGTCACTTCTCCTTTGCTGACTAGGTTTGCTCTGCACTCATGCTCTGCACTCATGAGGCTACGGCAACCCCACAGTGTGGTGGCTCTGGCCGTGGTGCACCCGGGGTTCCTAAACTCTTGGGGAGCACCCCAGAGCAAACCCCTCTTCTACGGGCTGCACCATCCTGAGTCCCACGCTTGCCTGTGTGGCGCCTATCACATTAGTTATAGCTCGGGGTCATACCCAGAGTTGATACAACCTTTTTCTTGTCTAGCTGTTTGAGTTACCATATGGAGTCTCCAACTTTACCGTGTCCTTAGGGAGGGTACTTCTTGTCTACTCTCATTGCTTTATGAAATGAGTCAATGCCTTGAGATTTGTGAGATACAGGTGTGATCTGCTGCTTCATGACTGACAAACCTCTATAGTTAATGAAAATTATGAGTCAGTTCT